TTCTCTTAACCCTTGGCCACTATCCTCCAATCGCACTTTCCTGGGGTGACAGCGGGTTAAGGAAAAGGAAATGTGGCAACAAGCAAAGTGTAAAAAATTTCAATGAATAACCGTAACGATAACATTGTCAGCAGGAATAGCATTCTAGAGTAGAGATGGAAAGTCAATGGAAAACTACGAATCTTGGTTACACTTCATAGAAAGAAGTTGTTCGATATTTTTAGTGTTTAAATCAAATCTACTCCTTTGCTAGTAAAAAGTCAGGACCTGTTATTAATTCTTAACTTAAACCTAGGAACTTGGCTGTTAACCATTGTAATTTCAATCACGAATCTAATCAAACATTTGTTAAGCTCACAAGAAATTATACTGCCATAAGCCAACACCTTCGACATAGGGAAACCACCCGATTAGATACACAAACGTCTCCAACTTCGTGCAACTCTTTTGGCGTACATTTGCAATAAATTTTGCCGCCTGTTGACAAGCCGCAAAGTATGCTTTAAAACGGCTAAGCCCGTGTCTCCTGCAGCCCAAGGACGAAAAGGGGGCGTGGAGGTTGAAAGGGTGCTCGCTGGCAAACGCGATTTTTATCGCAATTCAATAGAGTTTCCGTTACATTACGCCGCCGTCCTTTGTCTCCGGCGAAACTGCGGAACTAACAGCGCCACATTTTGTATCCGTGCGACGTGTCAACGTGTATTGCTTCCGCCGGGATCCTGTTTCCCAACTCCTTTCTCTGAAAAAACGTATCCTTATTGCTTCTGGATGCGCGACTGTGTTTGCTCCATGTGCACCTTGTGCCAAAGGACAAGACACGCCGGGAATGTTATTGAAATTTTATATTGTCTGCGATTTCTTTTTTGGCGGTGGATTTACATTTTGTGACAGCTGATTTATGGCCTTGGCTTGACGTGGGATCCTTAACGGATACACACGACGTAATTAGCTGAATTTAAGAACACACCATTAACAAATGTGAACTGAGCTAAAAGTTACTTAAATTATAAGTTTAAAGAACATTTCCCAACCATAGATTAACCTGAGCTCCTTAATGATGAGCTCATCAAAGGATGTGTTTGGCATAATTAGGCAGCCGCAAATGGGGTTTGTTAGTGCCCCATCCTATGAAGAGATTCGAAAAAAGGGGTTGCCTGGATAAACTTTGTGCCTTCTTCTTTTATTTTTGTTTCAGCTCGCGGAAATTGAATTAACTTGCTCAGCCTCGCTGAAATGTCAATCCAAAGGACCAAAGGGAAGTCACCTTGAGGAGAGGCTCATTAGGATTCCGTTTCTGGCGGCGAAGTTATCTGCGCTTGTTTACCTTGAAATTAAAAATGCAAAGATTCCTTTAAGGATGTTTCCTTTCGGCATCTGCAGCAGGCCAGCTGAATTATTTATGACACTTGCCGGCACCGGGAGTCGAACAGAAACAGATTACAAGATTAAATTATTGTAACAAGAGCATTACGCAACTACTTTGCATAATTCACCGCAGAAAAGGAGGACTGCGAGGGCGCAGAAATAAAAACATTCATCTTGGCCCTAAGTCGGGACTTCTTGGCTGTGTTAAAATATGTATACAATAGGTAAAGCCCGTCGTCCTCGCCCTTTGAACCCCCTTTCTCGTAGGTGACAGTCGAGGTCCCACGAGGCGTATACGTAACTTGCAGTGTTTACAACAATTTGTCACTTTTGCCAAGAGACCAGAGACGGCTAGAGAAAAAGGGGGAATCGCAGACTGCAGGCCAGACTCCTTGCTAGGAATGCCTAATTTGCATTTTAATTTAATTTTTTCCATACCGCGAAATGTCAACAGACAGGAGACTCGACTTGAGTCACTTGCAGACATTTTCCACCCCTCCAAGGAGTTCTCCTTCTCGCCTGTGTTTGTCTTTCTCGGTTTTTCTTGGCGCACTTTTAATTGAGCCCTGCATATGCATGAACCCCGAGCAACTCAATTAAAGTGAATGCCTCAGCTTTGAACTCCAGCCCGTGACTCTTGAACTTCCTTCCCTTCGGAATCAGCGAAAATCAATGCCCAGCCTTCATCGATTGGCCGACCATAAAACATGGATATAAAATAAAAAGTTCCCTTGTAATCCACACCGATATCTCCTCCTGCCCGCCCTCTGGGGTTGTAAATTCAACAGAAATTGCCATGGCCAACCAATCGTGCAACCGTTATTACCTGTTGACCTCCTCCCGGGTGTCATTGTGTCCTGGCCACTTGGCGATTGCATTCGGCTTCCGTCTGGGTCACGGCTCATAATTCTTCGAATTTATGAAGTGTAACCGGAGCGGAGTCTGGCTTGCTTTTTACACAACACGCGGCCTGGAGACAGTTTAACTTTGCATAGCCAGAGGTGGAATTAGACTCCCAGCTGCAAGGGGTTTAACCCATCGAAATGCGGTTGGTTTGTTCTGTACTTCTAGTTAAATTGAAATCAAACAATTTCGGCAGTTAACTAATTGGAAATTGTCTTTGAAATGTGAAATTTAATACCAAGTAAAAATCACTTATTCCTCAGCAATTGGCATTCAAGCCAAAATATCAAATTTTTGCCTTCTAGGTGGGCAAAAACCTTGTCGGTTGGTATATATATTTATTATAGAAATCATCTAAAAAGTGAAATGGATGGATAGATTATATAATAAGCTTTTCAAAACAGTACATCTGATGTCTGTGTGATCATTTTTAACCAGGCTACGAAGAAAAACACCTAGGGAAATTCCAGCTTTTCAAAATGTTACCAAATTTAAATTTTTGGCCAAAAAATAATCGAAAAGCATGTCATAACTTTTTTAATATTTGTCCGATTTTAAAATGTGATATCTCATTGAACTGGCAATAAAATTTCCATAAAAACTGTATCCCAGCCTTAAAATGTCAAAATTTGGCCATTTTTTGCAAAAAAACATGATGTAACCCCTTTCAAAAAAGTGAAAATTTTGAAAAAAAATTTTTTTTTCTATTTTGCCAAACTATTTTAGAAACTGATTGTTTGCATAATTAGCACTATAAAAAACCAAATCCCATGACCATAAGCCTAATATTATGTCAAATACAGTCGCTGAAAAATGAGATTATGGCCAGAAATCTGTGAAAATGGGAGAACACATTATAAATGATTTTAGAGCTAATATACTTCTAGTTAAACTAAAATAAAACAATTTCCGCAGTAAAATAATTGAAAATTGTTCGTAAAATGTGAAATCTAATTCAAGTTAGAAGCACAAATTCCTCTTAAATTAGCATTCAAGCCCAAAATCAAATGGTTTGTTAAAAACATGCCTTAAAGTTTATAATTGCGCAGTTGGTAAATCTATTTACTCTTTGATTTCAGCTAAAAAGTTATGAAAAGTGATTATACAGTATATAGTAAGCTGTGCAAAACAGTAAGACTTATGCCTAAGTAATCATTTTTAAGCAAGTTACGAGGAAAAACACCAAGAAAAATTCCCATTTTTGATAAAGTTATTAAATTATAATTTTTGGTAAAAAAAAGCTCGAAAATTATGCCATAACTTTTTTAATATTTGTCCGATTTCAAAATGGCATAGCTCGTTGAACTCGTAATGAAATTTCCAATAAAACTGTATCCCAGCCTTAAAATGTCAAAAAATTACCTTTTTCACAAAAAAACATGATGTAACCCCTTTCAAAAAAGTAAAAAATTTTCAAAAAATTATTTTTTTCTATTTTGCCAAACTGTTTTAGAAACTAATTGTTTGCATAATTAGAACTATAAAAAACCAAATCTCATGACTACAGGCCTAGTATTATGTTACATAAAGCACGCTGAAAAATGAAATACTGGCTATAAATCTTTGAAACCAAGAAAGTTGTAACTGATTGTTAAGCTAATACTATTGGTAGTGAAAGACAAAATATTTAACACCTTAAAGCCCCAGTGCGATTTTTTCTTAGTCAAGGCTAGAACCCCTATTGAGCCTGCTCATTCTTTCCACCTTTACTTTTATAACCTCGTCGCTATCTAGATCCCATCTTGCGTCACGTGACGACACTCACCTAATTTGAGAGCAGCTCTTAATCTGCGCACAATGAGATAAATACCTTTTGTGGCGCTGGCGGTTAACCGTAGAGTGCCTGCCTTAACCCACTTGTGTAATCCGTGGGCCGTTACCGTTACCAAGGCACTTGGCACGCTCCCGAATGGCCACTTGAAGCAAATTGCCTTGGAGCTAACTTTCGAGACTTTGGCACGAACGACTCGGCGTTTATTACCTGTCGATGGAGGAGGCAAGCACCCACCTTCCACCTCGAAGGCCCCTTGTCTGGAGCTGTTAATGTATTAATTTGAATTCTTTATGAGCCGCGGAGCAGCAGGTCGGTCCGAAATATGTTTGACATGGCAAATTTAGTGGAAAATTGCCGCATGTCGCAAGTATGCAAGTGAAAATGCTACGTGACTCCGTTGCAAATAAAAAGTCAACCGAGTGGGGGAGACAAATTGGCCGGCTTCTGGCCCGAAATTTAAAAAACAAATCACACCTACAAGCGCCCAAGACAAATTTCCAGACGGTCCACCCTATATATGTGTGTATATATATAAGGAAAGGACGAGTGTCCTGCCGGTAATGGAGTGGACTCTATTTGGGCTCCTTGTTTGCTGCTCCACGCTCGACTGGCCGTACCTTTTGCGGCACGCTCCGGCGACGAGCGGCGCATTTGTCAGACTCTGCGTCCGGATTGGGACATTGCATGTGGCATGCACTCGGAGAAAAGTCAGTGGGGTAAAGGTATAGGAATAGGAGTTACTTTATCCATATCAATAATTATGAGTTTGTAAGCTTATATAATGAGTCTAGTGAGTTTTTAGTTGACTTCTTTGAAATAGAAGTTAACTTTTTGAGAGATACTTTAACCGATTTTCCGAAGTGTAGTCCACCAACGTCGGTGTGCAGAGCAGTAAGCCAAGCAAACAAACTCATTCCTCAACTGACAACCGTTGTTGTCCCAAGTCACATTCCTTTCCTATTCCATTCCATTCCTATACTCCACACATCACACAACAAATAAATTCTCGAGAATATCCCCCCATAGAGCAGGATTTTATTTTCGGTACCTGAAGTTTCTACACGAAATTTGCGGCAAATGGCAGAACAGTCGGATCAGCTGATGTTCATCAGTGAACTGGAAAATATTGAATGCGGCGAGTTCGAATCGGTATACACGATCCATGGAAAACCCATTCTGCCTCCCATGGTAGGTGATTCTTCTTTGGACTTAACTATCAGTATTAACTATTTTATAAACTGCAGATGACGGACTGGAAGCGCCTGGAAATGATGCGTCTGCGTTTGTGCGCCTTGACCCAGGAGGTTGTCCGCGAGAGAAACAAGTTGACCAACGTCGAAAAGGTGGAGGTCTCTACCAATACCGACCCGGGGGCCCAGGGACCTAGACCCTTTGTCGTGATGGGTCGAATGCGTCAGAAACTAAATCAATCGGAGACCATGATCTATGATCACACCGCCAACATGGTCATGCAGGTCTCTGCCCCCTTCAATGAGCCAATTCTAATGAATTCTGAACTGATGATGGAGGAAGCTCCTCCAGCCCGGCCTCAGAGGGCCCATATTGTGTTCGCACCTGAGAAATGGGGTACCTTGGAGAGTGGATATGTAGCCAAGTTGGACCCAAAGAAGACCGGCAACTTCCAGCCGAAGGAGAAGGCCATACAACAACCTCTGCGATCCGCCACTAGTCCGGATCTTGCAAAGCTGCAACTCCAGCTCTTGCAAAGAAACCCACCAGAGCAGGCTTTGGCTATTAAAAGTGAACCACGGATTGGACACAGGCCTGCAGGGCAACATCCCAACAAAGCTAAGAACCCTAGTCGAATTCCCAAGCCAATTGCCCAGATAGTGGGAAGTATTTCCAAGGAGACCAAACCGCAGAGTGCCCTCCAAGCGCGAAGCAACTATGATGCCAAGGTGGCTTCCAGACGCAACAATCAGGTTAAGAATCAGGTTTCGCCTGTCAAGCCGAAGTCTTCGAGAATCCAATCCAAGACCACCAACTTGAATCTGCCAAAGAGCATTCGGACTCCAGTACCGATCCATCAGAGGCCCGGCTATGTGGATAAAGAACTCAAGCTACAGAAGGACCTCTTGAAGTCCCTGGTCCTTCGGCAGGCGGAGGAGAATCAGCGTCTGCAGGCCAGGATGCAACAGCAGCAGCAGGGCCTCATCGCCACCATGATCAACGATCTCAACCACGTCGTCGAGATCTCAAATGACTTCCATTCCTTGGGCAGGGCTTTGGAGCTGACCTCCTCCAGCACCTCGAGCGATCCCAGCCAGAACTGATCCCAAATTGAGCACCTCCGGTGGCAGCAATCTGCAGCACAATGTCAAAATTCAAGCGTTCATTCGAGCACTAACTGAGCAAGCTCAGAGGAACAGGAGCACACGGGAAAACATGTTACTCAATCTTCCGCCAAGAATTTTCAATTCGTTGCGCCCTTCAGTTGGAAATTGAAAATTCTTGATTGAAGGATTTCTGATTGAAAATATGGGATTTTCAGATCGCGGAAGAAGTTAATGTAGTTATTCGTTGCGATCGATGTCGGCATGAGAGAAGGCTTCAAGCATTTCTTCTGGACTGGCGATTCTCAGGCGAATTGTCCGTCCCTGCTCTTAATACTTTAATAAGAGTTTTGTAACAAATCGAAATTCTGGTTTCATTTCTATGAGTATTTGGTATAAATGGGTTGAATATATTCTTGGATATGTTAAAATACTTCCTTTTTTTATCATTAACTTCTAAGACAAATTCAAGCCATCAAAGTTTTTGCATTTAACAATTGAGAAATTATTTATAAATAGAGGTGAACATTTAGCTTCGAATGGTGCCCAAAATACAAGACTTAAACACTTTAGTTTTCCTGTTCCAGTTTTTCAAAATTCAGAATTTCTCAACGTGAGACGACTCGAATTATGGCATAATCCGCGAGTCGGTCGGGGACCAAAAATACAGCGGGCATGGGGCGTCTCTAATTGCGCCCAACGTCTGCGGCTGTGCCACACAAGATGCACCACAATTTGTCCCACTCCCGGAGGTTTGGCCACCTGCCCGGGCGTCTCACATTGATGTCTCTATAAGAAAGTTCCCCTGAGCCTTGGCCCCTCCCCGCTCTACCACTTTCCCGCTTTTCCTGGCGAATTCGCTTGGGCCGTTTCACTTGGCGCGCCCATAACTCGGCGTGTTATTAAGTGTAAAAATTAAAATTTCATAAATTGTTATGCTTTATTTAGAGTGCGCCGAGCAGTTCCTCCCACTGCCGCTCCCCGGTTTCCTGATCCCCGATCCATCGTTGCTCTGCGTGTGGTTTTGGTGATTTGCGCACTTCGGAAGCTGACGATATTGAGACTTAAGTGGACATAATTAAAAGCACTTAAGAGTCGCCACAGATCGCACCGACTGAGATATAGATATGGTCTATAAGATGAGTGAGGGCAGAACGGGAGATTGCCTGAATGGCGAGAGCACATTGGATGATGGCCAAATTTGCCAAGCAATTGGCAGATAGTGGAAAGATCACAGACAGTGTCTAGATTAGTGGCTATATTAAAGAGCTTTGTCTTGCTCTTTCATTCTCAGCCTTCTCCATCTCGAATAAAAATTCATGTCTAGAACAAATCAAATTCTAATGTCGCTGTTTAAGAAACAGAATTCAAGGAAAGTCATAAAAACGGAAATTTCTATTTATTCCCCAAACTGAAAATAAAATTTAGGAATGCATTCTGAACATGAGTGAGTAATGAGGTATGCTAGTTCCCACACCAGCGAATCATCCGCAGGCAATTGAAGTTGGGAATAGTTCTAGTCTAATCTCCTGTTTTTTCACTTGGCTAATCACACAAAGTGAGGAAAACTTATGCAGGCAGGCAAAAATGCCATGGAAATCATTTCGCGCTTTCACTTCGAGGCATGGGTTTATTAAATGAAGTGCACATGAAACGGGCATTTGGATTTCATGACTAGAATAAACATAATCAAAGTAATAACTCGAGCAGCTCCTTTCCCCCACCCTCCAAAAGTCCTTGCCACCCCTGGAAAACATGTGAAATTAATCTTGTTTATGTTTGTGGAAGAGGAGAGAACCAAGAAAGTTTTCTCTGAAACTTTTAGGTTGCCTTTTTGCGCAAGTTTTCTTTTCTGGGCGGGTTCGGGGGAGGGAAAGTGGGAAAAAGTTTTCAGTTTCGAGTGAAAATAAATAAAATCGAATGATTTCACTTTTGTTCCAGGCACGTAAATAGTTTTCCCTGCCACAGGGATAACCATTCAAGTGCAAATGCGAAATTTAATTAAAATATTTTCAAGGCGTTTAAAATGCAACATTTCCATATCGAAAGGGCGGTGGGGTGGGGTCTGGACTTATCTACCCCCTTTGTTTGCCCACCGAAGGTGCGAGATATATCCAATAGACCACCCTTGTCGGCATTATCGGCTTATTCAGCGGCATAAGTGAAAAGTTCTGTCAACAAAATCGAAATCACGAAAAATTTGTTTGCCATTTAAATTCGATTTTGATCCTATTTATCCAGTAAATTGCAGCAATTGAAAGGATTTGCGAGGGAGTCGCTCCTTGCGTGTTTGATTTTCAAATTACCTTCCAAGGATATTCGACGGCTGACTGATGTGTGATGATGTGACGATGTACTGAAGTCCTGATGTCCTGATGTGATGTGTGGGGCAAGCACTTGTTAAAGCTGATCCAGGGCTTTAAGGAATGCCCACACTCCCTCGGGGACTTGCCACCACCCTCCGTGGCAAAAGATATTGAATTTCAATAGCTGCAGCTGCAGGAAATCACTTCCTGGCGACAAAGTAGACGAAATGGAAATCAGGAAACCAGGAAAAGGACGAGAACAAAAACGCAAGTCAAAGAAATCCCCAAGTGCGGGTCAAAGAAAATAAAACTTTATGCAAATGCGCCACTTTGGCCGTAAAATGAAATAGTCCCCGGCCAAATTATACCTTGATGCTTGATGAGCTTCGGCTCCCCCCGTCCCTTGTTCCCTGTCTGGATCTTGGCCAATTGTCCTGGACGTGAATTGAAACAAAAGGGACTTTGTTTCGATTCCCCCTGCCTGTTTTTAGTAGTTTGGGAACCCGAGCAGGTGACTTCAACTTGGTAAACTTTTGCATTTACAATTTACAATTTACCTACATTCGGCATCGCTTTATTTCGCCCCCTAGGGGAAACTTTTCCAGCGACAATAAAACGGCCAACTTCATTCCGGAAGTTGTGACGGACACGCTGGCCGCCGTCAGCCTTTTTTGGCCACTCATTATTAATATTATTATTATAATTCTGGCACTCTCCTCCAGCGAGTGGGCTCCATTTTTGGACCGGAAACGGATGCTGTTATTAATTCACATGTCCGGCGAGTGATGTGGGTTATCATCAGGTATTCCCCGACCCAAAGTGCTGCACTTCTGCTCTCAGTGCTGATTCCTAATTAAATTTGCCACTTTATTTGCTCGCCTTCTTTCATTCCTGCCTCATCCCCCGGCTTCTTAATTGTGTTTGTGCTACTCTATTTCATCCACTCGCTCAGAAAAGAGAACTCATTTATGCCACACAGCTTCCTGCGTCTTGGTCCTGCAGGATTCTTGGTTTCTCGGTTTCTTGGATTCTCGCTCCTAGTCTGAGGTGGCTGTTTGCGCTAAAATAATTGAATTAATAATTGCTGCGTGTGGTTTTCATGCTTTTCCAGCTAAGACAAGTAAGAATGCGAGGCATGGCCGGCAGGGACTGGGTATAGGCTGTGGGATACCCAAGGCATAAGATTCTTCGTTTGGCTTACCGATGTCCTCTACCTGGGGATAAGATGGGTAAACATGCTTATACATCATTCATCAAATCAGAAATCCATTAGGTATTATTACCTCCCTTCTACTCTGAGTTAGCCTAATATACCCCTTAATTCCTCAACTAATGGGTATAGAAAAAACCCAAAGTGCTTAAGCCTGAGCTTCAGAACCAAGCGGAGTCGTGTGCAACTTTTATCTCTGGCAGCTCTTGGCGCTGTCTTTGCCCCATTCCCGGGTCCTTACTTCGCAGGAAAGTTGCTCGGATGCCTTTACTTGCTCACTGATTTAATAAATTAACGTTAATTAGCTGTTGTGGTCGATGGGGAAGGGTGGTTGGGAAGGGGGTGCGTGGGGAACTGGGTTAGCTGAAAAGACAATAATGCCAAGGAGCCGGCAACTTTCGCTGGCAACCCTGGCTGTACGTGATTTCCGCGGCTGTTCCAAGATTTAGCCCGTAACCCCAAGTTCGATGTGTGAATTATGGGCTGTCAGCAAGGGCGGATGGGGGCGTGGCATGACGGTGTGCTATATGCGAACCGATAATTCATAAATGTAAATGGATGAGCTTCTGTTTGTTCATCCCGTTTTAATTAGCCAAATGAGTGGCGAAAGATCAGCAATGGGATTATTTCCAGGAAGCCAAATTGAGTCAACACACAAAATGAATTCATTTCAACTTGGAGCAGTTTATTATCGCTGCTCCTCGCAAGGAATCCAATTAAAGTTCACAGGCCAAGGCCGCAGGCCCTCGACTTTTGGCCAATGCAATTGCAAGGCGGAGCGGTCAAACGTGGCTGTCAAAAGTGAGCCAAGGAAGTTGACCCAAGCTGGACAAAGTTACTTGAGACATACGCCTGCGGCCCAAGGGGATGTTGAGAGCTCTCAAGGAACTGGCCGGCATTTAAATTGAAATTAACATCCTGTCGGAGGATCCTCACATGCGGACTCTCCTCCGCAATGTGTGCGCTTATTATAGCAACCGGGTGGAGTAAAAGTCAAAGCCCGAAAAGGAATCGAAAGGAAACGGCAGCCGGCGACAAAAAGACCAAAAGAAAACTTGCCAACAAGTGCTGGCCAAAGGAAAAGCCGACAAGCAAAGGCAGAGCCAAAGGAAAGTGTCGAGCAAACATCTGACTAAACAAACACTGGCACATGCCTGCATGCTGCACTGAAAGAAATTTACATAAGGAAGTATTTTTTCAGATTTTTTACATTTTAGTACTGCTTAAAGGGCTCTGCTGCTGGTATGAGCTCTGATTTTAAGTACCATGACATTACTAGCTATAGAGACTTGCCAAGATCTAGTTCTTGTATTTTCTCCAGTGCTTAATATCCTTTACTCACACTCACACACAAAGACATACTCACACATTCAAAGAGAGCGACACACACTGGTGTAATTAAGAGGCCATTGTTATTTCGCTGACAAAAGTGAAAGATCCCATGATGGATAACGTCTGTGTTGTTGTTTCTGTCGCCTCCTTTTCGGGCTCGTCCTTTGCCTGTTGACACTTCAAAGTGCGACTGTCTGTGTGAGTATCTGTGCGCGCCGCTCTTTGATGTAATCAGCCACCGCCTCACATCACCCAACTTGACACATTATTCCCAATCTTGCTATTATTCTTACCTCAGCCTTTGACGACAGCAATTAAAAGTCTCACACACCCACACACACACATGCGCGCTTTAAAGGACTAATTTTACATCTAGTATACTCACACATGTGTGTGTGTGAGTTTGCTGATGTCTGCATAAATATTTAATGTGTTTGCCTTGTTAGTGGCGATATCACTTTATTCTGCGGAAGGATTAATTTAATGCCAAACGTGTGCGATACCCACCCACCGCGCTTAACCCCAGAAAGCCCACCAAAACACAACTGGCTTGTTGTTTTAGGTATCGCAAAGCACACAGGACATACGGCAGAGGGGTGTGAGTTTTAGTGGCTGGCGTAGGCAAACAGACAAGTGGAAACCGCTACTTACACTAGTTAGCTAATCAAATTAGTTTTATTAACACGTACGACAACAAGTGCGTATGCAAACTGACACCAGCACATGTGTGCCGCCTGTACGTGTTAATTGCATGTTAAACCGTTAAAGCGTTGCCTACTTCTCAGCGAAAGTGTCTGAAATTGATTTGGGGGCTGAGTAGTTTTATCTGGGCTGTAATTCATGTTCTTACAAGTATATAAACAAGATTTAAATAGTGTAAAATGATTATATCATCTTATGCTATACTTCTGGTAGCCACAACTAATCTGCATTAGAAAGGAGTTTGAAAATCTAAGATATAAATCAGGCTTAGCTGAACTGAAATAATCAGGGCATGCCAGAAATAAATCAAAGTTGTCGTTCTGCTTTGTAAGGAGCATTCAAATGAGCCTTCGGCTATGCTAGGCATATCAATGTGGCTATTCTTAGTAAGAAGTTTCCCCCCTCTTGGCCTTTCTAAAGTCAAAGAGTGAGCGGCACACAAATGGCCAGTTAATTAGGCCGCTGACATCAGCAGCAGAAACCCGATGACAACCCTGAATGGCCGGCCAGAGGCAAAGGGGCTTCTTCAATTACACCACTGACCACCATAATTAATGTTAATAAATAATAAATTTACATATAAAAACTTCCCCAAAAGCATGTGAGACGTAAACTGAGACATGCAGAGAAGTGAAAGTCCGCAGCGGCATACAAATCTGCGTAATTAAAGGACCCAGTGATGCCAGGACATTGATAACATGCAAAAGAGAAAGGAAAACGGAAGCGTTTAATTAACTTGTTTTGTTCCGTCTGCCTCTCGACCCGACTCATATAGTATGCCCGGCGTATCGGGCAATTAGAGAGGTCAGAAAAATCGAAAGGGAAATTGAAAGTGTGCGTATCATAAATTGCTGACCCACCACCGCCGATAGAAATCAAATCCATCCAGACCCCAAATTGCATTATACAAGGCCTAAAAGCCGCAGGAAACTTTGGGTCGTAAGAAAAGTTTAAGCCCGACCATAAACCGCTTCTTTAGGAGAAGAAATGCAACGGAGACTTGCATTTATCGAATTGTTTCCGATCTCTTTTTGACAACTATTTTTGGGCTACAAACTTTTTCAATTATACTTGGCTATGTCCCTCAACGGGCAGAGTGTTAAACTCGGTCATTTAATCAACTCTGAAGGTCTCGTCAACCGTGAAGATAAGAAAGCCAGGCAGTGAATTAATTAGCATTCATTGACCGGCCAATTGAGCTTGTAAATATTTCATTAATCGCCGGAAAGTCTTCAAATACAAAGCATTAATAAGAGATCTTCACTTGATGGATGGCTTGACCTTTCCGAAAAGTTGAGAGGCGGCGAGGCAGGCTGGGCTGCCACTTACAGGGCATTACCTACTCCCTAGCTGGCAAACTTTTAATTTGCTCACATTCTCATTTGCGAGAACAAAGTCACTACACAACAAAAGATGCCAATTTAATCTAGTCCCTGCTGGCCACATGGGACACTTGCTCGTAAAACCACTGGCCAGAACTTTGGGGAGCATGGCACAAGGAGGGCATCCTGGGCACAGGAAATGACTTCAGTGTCGGACCCTTTGGATGTGTATGAGAGAGATGTTGGCACCAGCAGGTAACTTCCGGCATAGTCAAATTGAAATGGCTGTGCCAGACCACAATCCCCATTTTCTCCTACCCTGGGGATCCTGCCAGCTGCTCTACTTTGCTGTGGCCAGAGTGTAAAGTTGTCTGCACTCGCAAAGTGTGACAAATTAAATTAAAGCCAAAAGTCCACTCTAGGTAGTTCGCAGTAATTGCTTAATGCCCTCCCTCAATTAAACTCCAGAAAGCCAGAAAGAGTTTCCCCTCAAGGCAGGCAGAGGGGAAAGGTTCATGGAGGTGGTCTTACTCCTTTGGACACGTGAGTTCTTGAACTGCGACCAGCACTTGACTTATGACATTAGAGCGCAGACACAAATCTTTATGAGCCGCGCACTCCTGCCAGGACATAAGTAAGAAAAACTACAGTTTCCACTTAGCGGCGGTCCACACATCCTGCGAGGATTCACTGCAAATGGCAGTTGCCAGTGGACAGTGACAAAAACCCCAGGCATGTTGCACTGAAAGAAACTTTCAAGACTAAGAAATCTTACTGATATTGGTCAATGGATTAGGCAACCTTAAGTATTCTTTAACAATGGAAAAATAAAATGTCCAGACCTTTTCAGTCTCACTTTTCCCTGCAAATACCCCTTCCATTTGTCGCAGTGCACGTTTAAGGCCAGTCAAGCAGCCAGACTGACGCATTGTTGTGGTCATAAGTCAGCGTGTGGACAAAAACCTGTGCACTGAGTTGAAAATCTTAAAGATAAATAAAGACCGGAGGACTTTTCAGGGGGAAAGCCTGAACTTTGACCCCAAAAACGGAAAAACCGCAAAAGACAGCAAGCCAACGAAAGACGACGGTGGAAACGGCGAGAAGATGATGAGCAGGACAGAACGATTATGACGCTGCCGGCGTCCAGCGAAGCGCAACTGATGAAGCCCACTTAGAGGTGTCCCTGCTCCTTGTTCCCCCTCCTCCTCCTCCTCCATCTCCTGGGTTTCTCTTTGGCTTTTCCTGCTCATTTTCCATTTCCCTACTCCTCTTAGCAGGGACAGTGGTCAGCAGGGCTTGGCAACATTTGCCGTTGACAGAGTGCAGGAACACGAAGATGGAAAGCAAAGAGTGAAAAAAATCGAAAAAATGTTATAATTGAGGAACTCGACCATGGGAATACCTGTTACTTATATTTCTATCTTGTTTTGTAGAAGATTCTAGCATAAGGAACAAAAAGACATTTACACTCATCTGTAAGAGTTCTGGAATAAATATAGGTTGAAGCACACTTTTTGAAATCATTTGATAATACCGAATCAAGGTTCAACGTTTTACATCGCATTAAATAAAGATTAAGATCCCAATAAACCCGTACACACCCCAAAGGCCAAGGATAAAAATCAAGGAGCAGCAGCTGGGCGAGTCAGTGGCCGTGGAGACGTGTGTTGGGCTACTTGGGGTCGTCTGGACAAACATTACCCATCGCCGGACACCACCGGACATGACCAAATGAAAATGTGTAAGGCTGCCCCCTGGCGAAGTCGTCGTCGCCACCGCCGCACAATTATTACTTCAACTTTTCATTTTGGTCTCTTCACTCTGCGAGGTTTTGCCGGAGTCTGGAGGTGCTGCAGGATACCAGGATGGCCGGCTGGCAGGATACTCCTGGCCATGGCTTGTAATTTCGCTTCCTGCGTCTCATTTTTCATATTCCAACGCTTTGAGTGCCATTTGGCAAACTGCAAACTGGAAACGGCAAAAGGCGACTGGCCAACAAGGTAAACAGACAATTTCTCAAGCGACTAATGCCCTGACTTATTGTTGAACTTGGGGTGATGGCTTGGAATCGGAGGGTGTGGGACATGTTCTTGTGCCAACAGACAAACCTCAAAGTGGGGTTTTAGAATGGGAACTTCGACCAGGGTCATTCTGGTATAAAAGGTAAGATATTTGAGAAGCAGAAGTCTATTTTGCCAGGCAGATCAAAGAATGTTACACCTTCAGTAACTCATCTAAGTACATCTTTATAGATTCTATAGAATTAAAATGATAAATGGTAAGGCATACCAAAACAAAATAGGTTAAAGGGCAGTTCTGGGTAACTACCTAGCAAGAATGTTCTCCATATACTTGGATTACTAAAATAGCTTTGAAATCAGACCAAAGGAACCTAAGGGGTTCAAACTCAAAATGTGGTTTCTTATCGAGTTACTGCTTTACTGTTGGTAAAGTTGATAATATTAGCAATATTACTTGACTTTCTGACTTATGTTAAAGACTTTTTGCTTACAAGACCTGACTGAATAAAGAAAGCTAAGCAAAAACGTATCTAATTCCCGATCTATTCCAAGCATCGATGATAGCCTGAGATATCTGCTTATGATGGCTGCCTCGATTTCAGGCCACAAAGAAAGAGTTCAATAGCTGGCGAGGCAACGATGATTCGAGTTCAATGTCAAATCTCTGACCTCTGGCAGGGGATGGCCGAAAATGGGTGGCGACAGATTGCGCATACGACCTGTTGAAACAGTCGAAAGTCGCTGTTGCAAAAAGCCCCAGAGAATGGAATAAAAACGCAGCATTATAAACAAAAACAGCCTACGAGGAGGGGAGAGGGCCATAAAGAGCCTAGCAAAAGTACAGAATTTATGTGTATAAGTAAGCCACGAAGGTCATATTAAATTGCCATAAAGAGCTATCGATTTTATCTGCAACAATGAGAGAAGGAAAATCGCTGCGCACAAGAAAATGCTCCAGCATCCTAACGAGGACACTGACACCGCCGAGAAAACGGGAGGGAAGTCTGTGGGAGGGAAAGCAGAGAAAAGAAACAACGGAAAAATAAAGCAGCGGGCAGTCGGAAAATCCATAAAGAGGCGCGTCTGTGGAGGGGCTGAAAAGAAAAGTTTTTTTCCCGCTCCTACTTTTCTGTCTCCTACTTTTCCACCCCTCCCCTTCTCTTTTATCCCCTGGCCACTGGCTAATTAGAAAAGTTTTCCCCTTTCCATTCCGGCGAGTAGCTGAACGCTCATAGGTGCGAGTAGCCGAGTCGCCATTTTTTAGCCCACGTGGCGTATGAGCGACGGAGACGGAGCGACACTGGTGTCACACCTACTTACCTACCACACGTAGCCAGGAGCTCAACCATTGGCTGGCATAAATCACAGTTACCCCCTCCCCCTGCACTTTCCCACTTTCCGCTTTCCACGTTCCTCCCAGCATTTTCCTCCTGACGAAACGGAGCACCTAACGCACTCGGAGAGACACACCTTCATTGCTGGAGAGGAGCAGGAGAAGGGCAGGAGCAGGGGCTGGGTTTTAGTTAGCTCGAGTTTCCCGGCGCACCTGCTCCTCTCTCTCGTCTCGTCTCTCGTTCTCTCTCGCTCTCTCCGTCGCTTTCTCATTTGTATTTACCTAAGACAGCAGTGGAAAAGTGGAAATAAAAAAGAAAAGCTGGCAAAAAACCGAGTACCTAACGAGCGAAAGCTGCGCACCTAAACCTGCGCTACACAAAAACTCCAGACGAGCTGAGAGCACCTCACAAACACTCACGCACACTGGGAAAAGCGGAGGAGGAAAGGCGGTCGGGGGAAGGCGGCGGAGGAAAAGGTGAAAGCCGAGCCACCAGATGAGAACAGACGACGTTGACGAGTACACGACGAGGGAAAATGACGATGACGTTGATGGGGAATATAAAGCAACACGGAGAGGGGGGCATAGTAAAGGGAATGTGTAGGAAAAATATAGGAAAATAAGTACGAATGTAGAAAAGTTAAAGAAAACATAGAAATCAAATCTGGGGAAAATCATGAAAAGTCGTAAAATCAAGAGAAAGGGTTATGAGTTCTTCTTTTCCAAAAAAGAATCAAGCAGAAGGTTTATAGTTTAATGGTGACATAAATCACAAGCTGCCTTCTCCAGTAGCTCGAGATTTTCGTTTGGCCGTCGGAAAAACACATGCAGCCCCACCCCTTTCGTGGAAAACCCCTCGAAGGTGCTCAACTTTGGTTGGCTGCCAACATTTTCGTGCTCACCTTAAAAAGCGTAGGTAGCTCATCCACATGAGCCCGCAGGAGCAAGCGAGACAGCAGCACAGGCAACAACCTGGCAGCGATTGTGTATGAGTGTGTGTGCATCTGTGTTGGCCAGAATATGTACGTGTGTGTGCGGGTATCTGTGAGAGCGAAGCCAACGAACGAAAAACGCACGACGAATAACAACTGTTACTTGCGGTTGAGGTTGCAGCTGGGTAACCGAAAGGGGGGGTGCGGGGTGCCAAATCATGGGGCAGAAGGGTGGGGGGCACTTCCCACAGGTAAGAGAGAGAGGTAGCAGCGCAGCTGGCACCTACATCTCGACTTGCCGCACTCTTCTAGCCAAACGACGACGAAACGAAGACGATGGGCCAACACCTAAAGCAGGTATACATATACAGACTTATACATATACATATATACGGACAGGGGGTGGGGGGTGGCTTCTGACGCAGGTAGATTGGTGGATGCGTAAGGTATATTATATATCTCAGCCAGACTTGAAGCACGTGTCTAGGTATATTCTCTGAGGTGTGAGCAAAGGACATGCGCAGTGCCGCGAGCTCTCTCCACTTTCACTGTTAACTAACAGCAGGGGAAATTCAGGGGCAGCGCCATAACAGGGCCCCATATCGTGTGTAAAATGCAAAGAAAATTCATAAATAATGTTAATTTATTTTAGCCACTGCAGCTGTCTTCGCCTGACAGTTGGCCCAAGATATAGCCATAAAACACAACCCGCACACACGAGCACACGAACACAGCGAGACATTGACCCACAAAGGAAATTAACATAATTGTTGATTCTTGCGTTTTATTGTCGAGTGCGTTCTGGCCTTGTCCTCAGCTCCGAATCGATTTTGTGGCAAGTACAAGGGCCGAAACCGATGATACAGCACTTGGCCAGGGATCGCAGTGAATTAAAGGGTCAGAGTGAGGCTCTCGATTGGCCTATAAGTATGCAATGTTTAAGGAACTTTAAACTAGTCTAGGATTTCGAAACTGATATTAATTCAAAGAAGTGTAGAAGATTCTTAGTTATTATCTATTGGTGCTACTTGTATAACCTTACACTTTCTCTCCATTAACCTTCTCTCAGCTCTAATTGAATTTTAATTTCCATTGATTGCACTTTTTGACCTTTCTCCGTTGGGCAAACAAAAAAGTTGTGCATACGCCATGTTGCCCCGCAACAGGCCAACCAAATTTGCATTGTTGTCCTTTTCGGAGGGAGACCAAATGAAGAGTTCCGTTGGCGGAAAACTTTGCTCGCACTTTTCACTCTTCTTTTTAAGACCGGAGATGGAAGAAGGACCCACAGGAGGCGGAGTGGAGCATCCTTGTTGCTCTTTTGGCTGCTACAAATAACCGGCATCAACTTTAATCACCTGCTTAATTAAATCAGTTTCGCCGACTCCTCCCTTACCCCTCTCCTTCGCAGGATGGTCATTGTTCTGTTGTCCTGACTCCTGGTTGCCTGCATAAATTATGTGCTGCATAATCACCTACAAGCGTTCTATTTAAGCTCCTGGCAAGTGTCCTTTGCTCTCCATCCCCTCTCCAGCCCCTTGTTTGTTGACCACTTTTTTCCTTCTGGTCGCTGATGTCCGATAAAGTTCTTAAATCATTTACGTTTTCCTTGCCTTTTCCTTTGTTTTTCCCTCGATGCGGTTTTCATTTGCTTAATGCTTGCGTAGAGTTTTTATTTTATCGCGAGATTCAGCCGGGGATTTATGTTTTTAATTCCATTACAACGCATTTTCCAGGGGTGAGGATTGAGATATTCATCTGCCAACAGGAAGGTGAGCTTAAAAAAATGAAAACAAGAACTGATGATGAAAGTTAAACGACCTGTGAACGGATTGAAATAAATGCAAGGACTTAAATGCAAAGGCAAGAGTTTATGATGTTGCTGAGATAAATGTGGTTCTTCAGATCAGCATCTAGCTAGCTTGCGGAAGTGATTGGTAATAGCAGAGACTATTATTATAAAGAAATAAGGAATACATTTGCCAAGATAAATGCAAATGATCAAATAAAGACAAACAAGTACTAAGTACTTGGTAAAACATTCCATACTTCTGTGATGCTTACATTGCCTTATCATTTTCCCACATAAATAAGCCATCGATTTTTGTTCAATTGTAAGCGAAACTAGAAAAGCAATTAACAGAGACACGAGGTTAATTGGCAGCCCCTCATTGGGTCTGCCAGCTTCCGAGACCCTCCTTCTGGTTAATGTAATGGACCGCAATTTACGTCAACTTAATACTCATTTCTGGGCAAGAGTTCCTTCTCTGCTCCAAGGATATGTGCCTTGAGTGGGTGGACCAGGGAGGTTGATTTCCCGCTCCATTTCTCGCACGCCTAGGTAAGATTTATGGGGAGTGGGGCTCGACTCGAAGGACCTCAAGTGTGCAACGCAATTTGCCGAAAGTATCGAATTTCTCCCAGAAAACACTTTCACCACGGCAGCGCCAGTGCGTGTGTGTGGCTCCCTTTGATTTTTTCCCTGCTGCGACCACTGGACGTAGAAAAGTAAACAGAAGGTTAATGGATTTGACACACGGTTCCAAGGAAGCCACGGCACTTGGGCGTGAAATGGATATGCTTTCAGGCTAGGCACACACACAGTAAGTTCCGAGAAGGTGGATAGAAATTGGGGGAAGACATTGCTTTGTTTACTCCCTGGACAAGTGGACTGTGGTGGATTCTTAAAGAACTGGGCTGTTCCAAAAAGCTGGAGCTCTACGACTCTATCTTGAAAGTTATCATAACATATAGGTCCTTAAGAACTCCTCTCCCTTTAAGCAATATCCTTTTTTAATAAAACTTAATCCAAAAACTGAAATAATCTTAGAAAACTAAGCTAGATCGATTCAGCTTCCTTTTAAGCTTAAGTTC